TTAATGTCTATTTAATGAAATTGTAAACTTCTCAGTAGAAACTTTTCTGCCTATATGATTGACACTTCAGTCTTTTTTATTATTATATTTTAGTTGTAGGTGGACACAATATCTTTATTTATTTATTTATTTATTTATTTTATGTGGTGCTGAGGATAGAACCCATATGTGTGAGGCAAGTGTTCTATCACTGAGCTACAACCTCAGCCTGGCACTTTAATCTTTATCTTTTTTTGTACAAATACTCAGTTTATCCTTATTTGGCTAATTTCTATTCCACTGCTAATCTTCTAGCCAAAAATTCTTGTCACTTGAAGAAAATAACTTTTTAATACATCCATTTACCTTTGATTCTTTCATTCATCATTTATTCAGATCTTACTGTATTCTTGGTTACATGAATATATATATATATATATATTCTCCTTGTTTTCCTCCTGCAAGAGAGAAAACCATCTTAAATTTTGTATACAAGGAAAAAAAATGTTTAGTGGCAGAAGAAGTAGATAAATGTCCCAAGAAAATTTACAAGAGTGAAGCTATAAATTCTCTCCAAGATACTGGAGAAGACTTTTAGCAGATCCTGAAAGAAATGGTAGTATTTGGTCATGCAAAAGGGAAATTCTAGCTAAAGAGAACTATAAGAAATAAGTTCAAGGAATGCATCTTAGTATATGAGGAACCTCTTACATGCAACTTAAATACGTAAGGTAGATAAAGAAGAGCTGTGAGTAAAAAAAATGGAAATAGTTTATACCAGATCCACCAAATTTTGAATACAAGTGAAGATTTTAGTCAATTCATGGCTCAGAAAGAGACCTTAATAGGATTGTGCACTCAAATCTGAGAAAAAATAGATGAACTCAGATGATTTAGTGAAATAAACCTGGCCAGTATTTAGGGCTTGAAGGAGGCAGAAAACTATTTTTTACTTCCTCATTTTCAGTTCTCTAAAATTTTAATTCTGAGAGGTTCTAGAATATTATTTTCCTTGGGAAGTTGTTCTGTGTTAATTGCCTGGTAGCTTACTCTTTATCAAGGATTTATTTTAATGACATTGACTTTGAAACTACAGCAAAACTCTTCTGTGGATGCTCGGAGACCAGATTTCTTGAGCTTGCTGAGCCTCAGCTTTAGTACTCTGTCAGCCAAACATAGAGAAATAATTAGAAAGCTTTAAATGAATTCCATGTAGTCCTTTACATTTTCATGCATATCTATAGCGGGTGGGGGAAAGGGCAGGAGCCATTCAGACTCCTTTATAATAATTCCTATAGTTATAGTTTGATTGATATTGCCACTTGCTTTGTGAAACTAATTTTTTAAAATGACCAAGCTCTTACTATGTTTGTTAAAAGTTCTAACAAAAACTCAATTATTTAAGTAAAAACAAGGGAAAGTAAAAAAAAAAAGTTTTAAACTAAGCAAATAATTAGATTTGGTTAAATATATTACAGCCCATTTGAATCTATTAAAAGGTATGTATTAGGTATAAAAAACTCTAAAATGCATTTACCAACACCTAGACAAAAAATTGAAGGCGAATTAACAATATTTAATATACAATTATCATATGCAAATTAAATATATTATTTTAATTAATTTATAACTTTTAAATATTTTCCTTAAATTTTACATGTTTTGAAGAAGGAACTATTCCAGTTTAGTTTTTTGATTTTAAAATGTGTTTATAGGGAAACAATGTTTTCAACATAGAATGTACCATCTTATGCATTTAATATTGTTAAATGTTCATTTTGTAAACTTTTTAAACAATGTCCTTTGATTTGTAATAGGTTAATACTAGAAAATCAGAACACTTACTTCACTTGAAGTGTTATTTGAAGAATTGAAATATTCATACATTTATAGGCCTTTGACCAATAATTATCTAACTCACATTTGTGGTCCTGGACTACCATATGAAATATGTACATTATACAAATTAATACCTTTTATTTGTTTGTATTATTACTATAAATAGTATTTTAAGTAGCATTATCATTACTAAACATAATTAATATTAATTTTAAACATCTCTACCATTTTTTTCAAGGGAAAAATTGAATTTTTTTTAGTTGTTGATAGACCTTTATTTTCTTTATTTATTTTTATGTGGTGCTTAGAATTAAACCCAGTGCCTCATATGTGCCAGGCAAGTACACTATCACTAAGCCCCAGGCCCAGCCCCTGGAATTATTATAACCTCAAAATATAGTAAGTAAAAATTTATGAACACATTATGGAGTGCTACAGAAAATTCTCCAGCTCTTTAAAGCATCGTATATGTGGAATAAATTTTAATGGAATTTCAAGCACATTGGTATTTAAGAAACATATTTATAATTATGGTATGCAGTAATCTCTGGGGTTTATCTCTATGGAGTCCTAAAGGTTAAAAGTCTAGTTTTATGGCCTTGTAAATCTTTGTCCCTGCAAGTGTACTCTCACAAGTGTTTCTGTTAAGAAACTTGGGTTTCTCAGGGCTGAGGATATATCTCAGTTAGTAGAGTGCTCACTTTGCATGTACAAGACCCTGGGTTTAATCTCCAGCACCATTACACACAAAAAGAAACTTGGGTTTTTCAAACTAACTGTTTTCATTTAGATTCTTGGTGTGGTGACTGTGGAATATACTGTACTTTAACATTTATTGCTCTGACATGAGGAAACAGAAAATTCACAGTTGAGAGTTTAGACAAATTAGAAAAATTTCTAATGTAAAACTTCTCAGGGCAAACAGCTATTGCTCATTAAAGGACTAGAAAGATATCTGTTTAAGTATACACTAAAGTAATAAAATATTAGTTTATTTTCTTTTTGTGAGGATTGTGAATTATGAGAGATTATTAGCAGGTTCAATGGAAAATTAGTGTTAAAAATAATTTCTGGTAAAAAAAATTGTTTTTAATACCCAAAGAAGTCATTGAAGATATGGTCTCCAGACTTTTAAAATCTTATTATAATTTCCATTGTCATATTAGTTTAGAGTTTATTTAAGACCATTGCATTAATGAATGAATTCTTTTGAGATATCGTATTAGTTGGCATAGTCTAGGATGAATGCATGATATATAAAAGTACTACTTAGTTACAGAATTGCAAATTAGAAAATTTTCTATTTGGCATTAATGTTACTAAATGGCATTCATTGAATGAATATTTAAATTATTTCTCTGTATGAGGGAAAAATGGTGAATGACCATTGATACAGCTCCTGAATTCATGTTACTCCAAAAGGTCATCTCTCCATTGAATTCAAGAGAGAAAGAATTGAAAGGGTAGTGATTTGATGATATGGGAAAATATGAAGCATAAAATATTTCTTCTTTCTCGTCTTTGATCATGATGTGAAAGTGATGCAGGTTTTCCACAAAAGAATCAAGAACTGTGGGCAGGGGGTGGGGGTGGAAGCGTTATGGTTAGATTGGTCTTTTATAGAACATGAGCACTATCTAGGAAATGATTTACTGCTGTTTCCCATGACATATACAATGAATTGGATATATAAATAAGATTATATTAATCTCACATTTTAATTTGCATAGTCTTTGACATCCCATCTAGGTAAAAAGACTTTGACTGCCACG